AAATTCACTGACACGAAAAAGTACTCAGGAAACTACCAAGCCTGCACGCGTTAACGGCAACGTAGCCGGTGAACATAGCCGTCTGTTATACGTCACGGATGTGGCCACGAAAGTTCGATACCTTGTCGACACCGGCGCAGATATTAGCGTTCTTCCCGCGAACTCTAGCGACAGACTTCACGATTCTGTTTTAAGTTTACAGGCGGCTAACGGAAAGCCGACTGCTACGTATGGTATAAGGTACGTTTACCATAACGTGGGTTTACGCAAACCCATACAATGGATTTTCGTTGTTGCATATGTCTCTATGCCAATCATTGGTATGGACCTGTTACAATACCACAGTCTACTCATCGACACACGCTCATGAAGGTTAATAGACGAAAACACTAAGTTATCTGTTTGTGCAACTCCTTTTTCTGGTCGCAGATTATCCCCAGTCACAGGCACACCATAGACCCCCTATATCAATCATTACTCGACAAATACTCCGGGATATACCAACCGCAACCGAAATTGCCTTGTGTAACCAACAATGTCACACATCACATCTCGACTACAGGACCACCTATATTCTCAAAAGCACGCCGACTGGCTCCCGAAAAGCACAGGTTAGCTAAGAACGAATTCGACCACATGATGGACTTAGGAATAATTCGACCGTCGAATAGCTCTTGGTAATCTCCCTTGCACATGATCCCTAAAAAGGACAGCAATGATTGGTGGCTAACTGGTGATTATCGGCGTCTGAATGCTAAAACCATTCCCGATCGTTACCCGTTGCCTCACATTCACTATTTGACAACTACCTTGAAAGGTACAACTGTCTTTTCGAAAAACGACTTGGTTAAGGCCTATAACCAAATACAGATGGCAACCGATGACATACCTAAAACCTCCATCGTCACTCCTTTCGGCCTTTACGAATTCATACGAATGCCTTTCGGCCTAAGAAATGCGGCTCAAATCTTCATAGACGACGTCCTCCGAGGTCTCAACTTTGTTCATGCGTATGTTGATGACTGTCTAATAGCAAGTCCGGATAGAGAATCACATCTCCACCATCTGGACGTTGTTTTCGATCGACTCCAAAGGCATGGCATTACCGTCAACATTCAGAAATGCCTAATCCGAACAAACTCTTTAGACTTCTTAGGACACACCATTGATGCTCTAGGCATCCGACCCCTTAGAATCAAACTGGCGGCCATTCTGGATTACCCAGAACCGATCACGATTAAGCGATTGCTCACTTTTAACGACCTCTTAAGCTTCTACAGACGGTTTATACCCAATTGCGCGTACCTTATAGAACCGTTAATCGACCAACTTCGTGGAAATGCAAAATCAATTAGTTTAGACGACACCGCTGGAAAAACATTCTCCACAGTTAAGGAACATATCGCTAACGCAACCCTACGACATTTCCAACATTCCATCGAAGAAAGAGAATTCACGCTATTTACCGATCACAAACCTCTTACGTTTTCTTCAAGTTCATCTTCAGACAAGTACTCACCGCGCGAGTCTCGATCACTGGACTACATTCCACAGTTTACTTCAGATATACAACACGTTTCTGAAGCAAACAATGTAGTCGCACACGATTTGTCTCGAATAAGTTCCTTCCAAGGAATCGACCTTCTTAAACTCCCTCAGCTTCAAAAAGAAGACATTGATCTTCAGCATGAGTTATCCTCGACAACTCCTAAACTACGTATTAAGAAGATGAGAGAAGGTAAGGAAACCTTACTTTGCGATACATCTACAGGTAGGGATCGTCCGATAGTACCAAAACATTATTGACGCAACGTCTTCAATACGTTGCACAATCTTTCTCATCCAGGTGTCCGTGCATCCATCAAGCTTATAGTCTAACGGTTTTGCTGGCCTGGTATGAATAAAGATGTAAGGGAGTGGGCACGCTCCTGTGTAAGCTGTCAGAAATCTAAGGTCATAAGACACAACAAATGTCCCTTAAGCTCGTTCAGAACTTCTGATGCTAGTTTCGACCATGTTCATCTAGATTTGGTAGGACCCTTACCCGATTCAAACGGATACTCATATCTCCTAACCTGCATAGACTGTTTCACTCGATGGCCAGAAGCAGTACCGATTAAGGACATTACTGCTGAAACTGTGGCTCGCGCTTTCGTCGAACGATGGGTAGCAAATTTTGGCTGCCCTTCAACCGTCACTACAGACCTCGGACGTCAGTTCGAATCTGGACTTTTCCGTTGTCTGACCACACATTATTATGAATCACTCACTTCCGAACGACAGCCTACGACCCACATAAAAACGGATTGGTAGAACGTTTTCATGGACAACTAAAACCTTCACTATCAGCTACAAACGTTTCACAGTGGACAGACGCTCTTCCACTCGTCTTGCTAGGCATCCGCGATGGAGTGAAGGCTGACATTGGATACACTGCATCTCAACTCCTTTATGAAACGACACTCGACTTTCAGGAGAACTCGTAGATCCTTTGTCTTCTTCATTGAACATGGGCCCAAACTCTTACATGAGCAGGCTTACAAACGCAATGCGTTCAGTTAAACCTGATTACACTCGACCTCAATCAACCGATGTTTTCATTCAACCTGACTTACGACATAGTACACACGCCTTCGTTCGTTGAGACTCGCATCGAAGACCTCTCGAATCAGTATATGAAGGACCTTTCAAAGTTCTTTAGCGTGAACCTAAGTACTATGTAGTCAACAAGAACGGTACGAACAATAGCATCAGTATTGATCGCCTTAGAGCAGCATACTTAGAAGGAAACCCTAGCTACACTGATTTTCCTTCGATACATTCGAACGACGTGGCTCCCACACTCGTAGTACCCCACACGACAGCCGACACACATCTTGATACTTCGTCAACATCGGAAAATAAACCCGAAACAACGCGTTCAGGAAGAAGAGTAAGATTTCCAGAACATCTAAACGACTATTGCACGTAGGACACTAACGTTATCTCGATTTCCCATTGCATTATTTATTATAAGAAACAGAATTATTTTAGTATGCTTATTTTTATATATTTATTTCAAAAAAACAACTGTTTTTACTTATGAGCGTATATATATTTTTTCATATAAAAACCCCCAAAAAAACCCAATTTTTTTTCAAATCGCTTTTACGCTGTCGCAAGCGTATTAGTTTATTTATTTATTTTTCCCGCTCATCTTGTGTTCTTGCGCAAGTACGAGTGTATTTTCGACATGCACTCACACGTTCTATTTTTTCTCTTTTCCAGTACAGCTGGAAAAGAACGATGAAGTTTACATAAAACCGAGATTTTCGATTGTACTTCGTTTTGCGATTACTATATTGTATTTCATGGCTCTTTATAGAAAGGAAAGACGACCAGACGCTGCTTAACATAGCAAGCTATCAGAAGAGTGTTTACCAACGACGAACTCGTTGGGTTTAAACTTCTGGCTGGCAACGTCGTAGGGTCATCACTACTTCACTAGAGGGGGAGTGATCTGTAGCTGTAAATAATTCCCCAAAATCAATAGCATTCTAAGTGTTCGACATTGGATACCGACCACATTGTTTTAAGTGGACTTGTTTAACTGAAGGCTTTCGGTCATGCATTGTACCAGATCACATTTCGACTCAGCGTGGGAAACTGCTCCCACGTTCACCAGCCAGCTTAGACCAAACGCTTCTCGATATATTGATAACGTATCAAATATATACCTCTTCTCGTCTGACTTCTGATTTCCATTGGTCGGGGGAGAGCTTCGCATATAGAAGGTGCTACTGGTAACAGGTTGTAAAATCAGAATACTAGTCGTATCTTCATAGGCAAGAAAATCACCGAGACTCAAGAACAGATGAACAAATGGGTAGAATACTTCGAGGAACTCTTCAATAGAACAGCTACATTGAATCCACCGTACATCGAAGCAGCACACAGACCGTACTATCAATGTCACTGCACCAACGACCGAAGAAATTAGGATGACCACCACACAAATCAAGAGTGGGAAAGCACCAGAATTTAATTGTATACCAGTTGAAGCACTGAAGTCACACATAGAAATAACTGCAAGTATGCTTCACACTCTATTCAGGATGATTTGAGAGGAAGAACAAGTGCCACTGACAGACTGGAAAGAACGATACCTTATCAAGATTCGAAAGAAATTAGATCTTATCAAGTGTGGGAACTAAAAATGAAATACAATATTATTGGTACTAGAACCAGTTTTTGACAATGTTTTTGAACCAGATGAAAGATTCAGTAGACATCCAGTTACTAGATGAACGGACTGGATTTCGTGAGGACCATTTGTTTACAAACTAAATAGTGGCACTAATGATCATTGTTGAAAAATCATTCGAATGGTACTTTTCACTATACATCAGTTTCGTTGATTGTGAGGCTTTTGACAGTGTGGATAAAAGAACCTTACGGAATCTTCTTCGAAAATGTCGAATGAGTACCTGAGAAGATCGTCAACAGCATACGGAATTTATACGACGGACTACACTGTAAAATGTTGCAAGGAGGACAGCTGACAGATGCATTCCAAGTGAAGACTAGTGTCATACAATGCTGTTTACTTGAGTTCTTTCTCTTCCTTCTGGTGTCTGATTGAATTATGAAGACATCCACACCTGACTAGAAGCCCGGAACACAATGGACAGGTTGGATGAAACTAGACGAATATGACTTAACGGATGTTCGAACCTTTCAATGACGCAATTATACAACTAAATCTATAACTATTTTTATTCCCTCTAACTACTTACCTTTTTGACCGAATCGACTCGGTAGGGTCTACTGAGCATAATATCTCTTCTCTCCTAGATATTCGGCCTAGTCATTTCTCATTCAGACTTCTCTACTCCCCATCAAATATATGGTTCTCAAAACTTATGGTATTCATAGTTGTTTTTGATGTATCATACTTGAGGAGCCCTGATATAAGCAGAATATAATGAACAGTCAATTCTCTGTTTCTCCTAGATAAACTTTTCAGTGTCATCCGTAGTTTGAATACTTTATTACATGCTCAATAAGCAATCTCACAAGCACATATTTTGAAGTAGTTGTTTACAGTAAACTTGATCATACATACTCAAAAGTAATTGACTTTGTAGTGAATACTATGCGAGACACATTAACTCAACTCACGTGGAATAACTGTATGAGGAGGCCAGAAAGATTAACTGACAGACGTTCTTGGTTACTGTTACGAAATCTATAATTCAGGTTAAAAATAACGAATGGATTTATTCATTTTCTAAAGTTATATACTAAACTCACTGAAAGTTGCATTTAATAGCATCGCATTTGGTTCAAAAACTCATCAGTGACAGCTTCGTCGAGATGCTTGTTCAGAATGATAGTATAAAGCGAAACAAAAGTAAAGAAGGTGATCCCCAACCGCAACAGGCGTCTGTCGAGAAGCAACAGCATCCAAAAAAGAAGTCTGCCAGGAGTTCCAAGCATTTTCATGCATCCCGAGGTAGTGATCGTCCTCGCCAAAAATCACTGAATACAATGTTTTGTGGGTGTCTGGTTTCCGGATCAGAATGTGGTAATACAATAGAGCATCGTCCACTTGATAACAACCGACGACTTCTTCCTACCAGTGCTATCCAGTCAATGGAATCTCTTAGCATTTCAGAAAATGCGGGTCCACAGTGTTTTCAGTCATCTCAAGTATCTAATGACTCAGGTTTAATTAAACTGCAACCAGTTGTTAACCTACCGTCTTGTGCTCTTATAACAGATGCTTTGCTTTCACAAACCAAACGGGCAAGTACAGTTAAAATAAGTGCACCTTCTAATGGCTTGAAGCGTTCAGGTTGGCACAGTTTTAGATTTAGTCATAAAAAAGAGTCAAATTTGTCCAAGACAAAACAACGTGATTCCACGATAAGGACACCCGTTGCCAGACCCTTAAAAGGCGATATTTCCTACCCTGAAGAACAGAAATCAGAAACAGTTCAGTCCCTTGTGTTCTCACCTTTACCAAATCAAGCAGTACTGGATACAGTAGATTCTGGAGAGGTGAGTTATCTAGTTTGTTTTATTCTGCCTAGTTAACAAGTCGACTCTACTAATTGATATTGAGTGATTATTGTTCACCAATCTACTTAGCTTATCATCTATCTTCACCATATGAAACAAACAAAGTTAGACGCGTCTATTTCTAGTCAACTGTGAGTTACGACAAAATATTCTATCCGGAGTTCAAGCAATCCTGAAGTTGGATGACGTTTCTCAAATTTAAACCAGTGATTCAGATATTATTGTCTGAACACTGAATAATAAAAATGTCCTTTTTCCTCCCATTCCTTTTGTTTACACCTTGATTCCTCAACTAGCGTTTCTGGCATTGAATGTTTTGTCATTGTGATTAACATTTGGAAACTAGTTTTCTACTGTATAGCCCTGTAATCTTGAGTTTTTCGGTATGCTTGTGTGATGTCAACCCCCGAATAGTTAAGGTTGTGGCTTTATTATTCATTTCATTGTAGTACATCGTTGTTCGTCCTGTGACAAGTTAGAGATGGGTCCTGCGGAGTACTTATCAAACACCATTTTCTTCTGAATTATCCAGTCACTAGTTATATTTCACACTATAAGGTGATTGAGTTTGGGAAACTAACCCGCCGTCCAACATAAGGAGCTAACTCAAATTACGAGTGTATAAAATGGAATTCAGTTCACTAAGTTTCGTATACTCGACAAGTAGTAGCATCCCTAGAAAAAAATGTTAGTGCTACTGGGCTCTGTTAACTGATGCAGACAGACAGCTTGCAAATAAGTGATTGGAGCTCAGAAACTGGTCACTAATGAGGTAGAATCTGTTACTTATATGTATCAACCTAATTTGCTACTCTTCACACCAGTACAGCATAACTTATGTATTGAGGAAAGCAGAAAAATAAAACCATAACTAGTCGTAGTGAAAAAAATGAAGGTGAGGAGAATGTCTTAAGTAATATAATTTAGGGATTGAATGAAGATAAATTACTAATGGCACGTTTAAGTTTACAAGAAAGAAAATGTATTCATAGACAACATTAGCGTTATATGCTAGACTATACATCCATTCTGTGCACACATTAAAACCAGGTTCTACAGCCTTTATTTATCTGGATGTAATAATAAAATAGCTCGTATATGAATTAATGTACAGTGAAAATCACATATGTTAAACCTTTTATGGAAAAACCATTTAGTGTGGTGCAACATAATAAATTTCTGTATTTACTATTATATATCACAAAAAATGTACCAACAGGTTCTACATTTACACTCAATAATTTCCTGTTTTATGGCGATCTTATTTCTTACCATAAATGTAAGTTTACTTATTATAACACTTGTGAAGTAAGCTATTGCGCGTTAACATTTGCATTTTGTTAACTAAATTACATGTAAACCTAATTCTGAATCTTAAAACTTTCTTACTTTTGTTTTCCTTCAGCAAAAGGCTGCGTTGCTTGGACCGAAAAGTGAAACAGACAAAAACAAAAAGTGTTTTGTAATTGACTTGGATGAAACTTTGGTGCATAGTTCATTCAAAGTAAATTCACTTTCCATATATATATATATATATATATATATATATTAAGGGCTAATTTATGACAGTAAGTTCACTATTGAGGATTATGTGACATGAATCAGGTTGTGGGCAATATAATGAACTCTTGCTAGTGTAACTCTAACCCATTGAGGGCTCATGTGCTTGGTTTGAAGTTCTGTTGTAGGTGTGGAGTCCATTGATGCTATTCTACTGTCCAAACAAAAGTAGATAATGCGGGACTTTAACCTAAAAACAAATGACTGAAAATCTAATGGCTCAACCACTAGTCATTGGCGATATCTAATGAAACTAGATTGTGATGTGGAGGTCGAGAAAATGCTAGCCAACTTGTAAGAATTCGACCATTCTCGGCTGATTTTTGTTATGTATATTTAATGTGGTTCAAGTTATGATCAGTAATGTTACCTTTACTTGCCAAAAATCTTTTTGCCAGATAGCAACAAAGTTGTGGTCTGGATTTGTAGTGTAATCACACAAATGCGACTCACTGATAATTGGAATACTTTTTTTTTCAAAATCGGTCTGCGGTAATAACACAAATAATCTAATGTGTGACCCGAGGCTACTGTTTTTCCCCACAAGGTTTTACAATTTTAATCGGCTTTACGAATGTAAACCAACACATGTAAACCAAGATTTGTATCAGTTACAGGAAGAGTGCCAAAGTGTTTTCAGACAATGTTAACAGTACGAAGCAGTAAGGCGTCCCTTGTTTAAAGATGGTCACCAATGAAGCTATGTAAATCACTATCTCCAAACACCGGTTTTAGATGTTCCACGTTTGCCAATAGAGTAGGCTCAAGTCAATCATTAGAATCCATGCATTGTATGAGTGTGTTTGGAATTTGGAATTCTTTCCTTATACTTATCCTAGTTATTATGGGGCTTTAACGTAAGGTGTACCTAGTGGTTTGACCAGTTATTTAGTAATTAGACCAAAGGTTCATACATACCGTAGTTGTGCTATATTAGACAGTCGCAAGGTATTCTGGATGTGAAGCAATGGAACAAAACATCTGTCACTTATCCTCTCGTTGATCCTAGTGGTTCTTCAGTAGCGCCATTCTGTGGAACAAGCTATATAACTGGGTTCATGTATGTTGTTTTGCAACCTACTTAAGCGATCTATTTGTATTTGACAGAACCACTGGATCATGAAAGTTAAGAGATAGTAGGAAGTTTTGTAGACCGTTCTATATTTTGCTTGTTTTTGATACAAATGAGCGTGGTATATTAGAACTGGACGACGTAAACTAACTGATATTGTTGTAAAAAAGAGATAATTTTAGTGACAACAAAATCCTGAAAAATAAAAACGAGATGCAAGCGGTGAAAATAGATTTTCATATTGAAAACAAGGAAAAATAGCAGAATCATCTTTGAGTTTTGGAATTCTGAAGACCGTACCAATCGGGATCTAATTTATCGACTGATACACATTTAACACAAAGCTACATTTCGTGGTACCATTTATTAGATTGACCTCTTATCCACCTCGTCAACCTAGCTCTGGCTTCAGCAAACAGTACGTGGCATGGAAACTGATTACAATGATCTTACCGATGCCCACACATACGTAGCTGAACTTTAATGTCACCAGCGAATCCATCCATTATTTAGGCAACAGTGATGGTTAAAGGTTGAAACTATCGAGGTTTTTTAGCTTGGAAAAACTAAGCTTAAATCAGACCTGGTTATGATAAAACGTTATACACCAGAATTTTTGCGGTCAAGCAAACAACACCAATGGTAGTTTAAATTGGGATATATTACTGTGGGTTTTTGTGTATGATTTTTAATTTCATATTCTACACTGCTATTAGCACTCATACAGTAACATAAATTTTCGACTACCTACATGCGTTTATTCGCTTCTTGAGGTTCGAGAGTTAGAGGACTATTAGAACACTCACTCACGGCTAAGAATCGATCAAAATGGCGTAGGTGTATACACTCCTTATCTTCCCTTAAACCTTGAGATTAAAATTGCTTCATAACTTTTTTCCTTCCTATACTATATCCTCATATACAACCTATCTTTCATATAATACCACCACTGAAATAACTACTTATATGAATCCGGTGTTCATCTTGTTGTGCTAACGAGGTATGGCAACTTGTACCGATGTATGTATGTGCCTGGTCCTACGTTGTAGCTGACTGACTGACACTCACGTCCTGAAAGAAACCCAACTCGGTTTACGCTTTTTATACTGCCTGGGGAAGCTCTGGAAGTGTTGGAAGCCTTCATGTACCTGTGCAGTATCGATAAACAGGGATCTGATGCAGATGTAAAGACAATGATTAGCAAAGCAAGGGCCGCATTCCTACAGTTGAAGAACCTATGAAATTTAAGACAACTGTCAACCAATATCAAAGCCAGAAGCTTCAATACGAACGTAAGAGCAGTCCTACTGTACAGAGCTGAAACTTGGAGAACTACCACATTCATCATCAAAAGAGTACAGGTATTCCTAAACAACTGTCTACGTAAGCTACTGAGTGTCCGTTGGTCGGATACCACCAACAACAACTTACTGTGGGAGAGAACGAACTTGCTTCCAACTGAAAAGGAAATTAGGAGAGAACACTAGAGCTGAATAGGAAATACATTGTGGAAACCATCAAATTGCATTACGAGGTAAGCCTCAACCTGGAATCTTGAAGGGGAACGGAAAAGAGGAAGACAGAAGAACACACTGAGTCGGGAATTAGAAGCGGTTATCAAAAGGATGAATAGCAGCTGGAAACAACTGGAAGGTATTACCCAGGACAGTTGGATGGATAATGCTGATGGGTGGCTTATGCTCCTCCACGAGTGGTAACGGGTGTAAGGGTAGTATAGAGATAGCCACTGGGGTTTAGTATCCCAATGGTTTCTTCATACATTAGGCAAGTCATTTTTAAAATGTGGTGATACTTAACTGAAGTTTGACGAAACACTTCATTCTCCGCATCATTTTTAACAATGTAGTTGATCCTCTGAACAAACTGTCACTTCTTTTTGCGTCTGTCAACGAATTCATCAATCTTTAGCCCGTTTCGAGCACTAGGTTTCGTGGTCTTAATAGAGTTTTTGGCCTAGGGAATTTGTGCGCATGATTGCACTCAAAGTCTTCTGGAATCAACAGATGCACATCAAGAAGTTTTAGGGATTCTTATAAAGATCGGTTTTATGGACGTAGCGTTTTACCAAACAGCAATCAACACAGTATATTCAATACCTAAAGTTGTATTAATCTTATCAAATAGTGCTTATTTTTCCTAATAATGGTTACATATTTTAAGCTAGTCTGATTTCATAGGACTTACTGTTCATTGGTTTTTTGCTACTTAGGTAATAGAACATGCTGATTTTAAAGTAGGAGTTGAAATAGATGGAGTCACACACCGTGTGTATGTTTTAAAGCGACCACATGTTGACCTCTTCTTGTCGACCATGGCCGATCTGTATGAATGCGTACTGTTTACTGCTAGTTTAGCTAAGGTGAGTTTTCTATTGAAAAAATTGTCCAGCTGTTTATTTGTTCACGCATTAATATTTTGGTCTCCATATTCGTTTTCCTTTCACCTTATTTACCAATTATAATAATGATTTTCTATTCAAGTTAGGTCAACAAACGTGAAGGAAGAAAATCAACTATTACCCTGGATAATCAATCGAATGGAACGTCAATAGGTACTGAGTGTTCCCACTATTCTATCCAATCAAACGTATTAGTGAACCAAACTGTGTAACTTCGTTTGTGGACGAAGCTACTTGGTTCTATTAGGGGGATATTTGTAATCAGACGTGAAAACTTAAAAAAACTAAGTAGTTATTTTGTAGTTCTATTAAGAAGCTATGACTTGTGTATTTGAACAACCTGGTAGTAAACTGTTTATCCACTGTTGGGATTGGATCATGATCATAGAGCATAGTAAAGCAACTCAAGTTGGAAACTGTGTAGCACTGGTTTACGACAGCCTAGTGGTATTGTACTGTATGAGAACTAAACGTTTTGTATTCATTTTGATGTATGAACATACTTATGAATCGCTATCAAGTCTCTAATTAAAGAATACTTGTTCACTGTCTCCCAGTTTTCACTGGTTTTCAATCTAGTATCGACCTGTGGTAAAATATCTGTTAGTGGATTTTATCCACTGACCCCACTAAGGACGAGAAACCATAGTTGGAGGGATAGATACGAAAATGTCTTCATACAGTAGAATGATGACCGGACAATCTAGTTATAATTAGTTAAGGTGATCTACAGAACTGATTCGTTCTGATCCCCTTCTGGACATTTATTTTTCTAGTATTTTTGGGATAAGCATGTCATTTTATTGCATACGAAAAAGTTTCTAGTGGGTAGCTGTCTTGTTTTCCGATATCCATTCAATTGTGTGCTTATGTTAATAATCTAGTTTTGTTAGTGTTTATAAGTCGACCACATAATATCACTGTATATTATCGATTCATCAGCATTAGATCCATTAGTTTGACAATACCTAAACGTTTTCCACGGCAAATTTTGAGATCTTAACTCATAACACTCAGCGTGTGTGGGTTAGGGTCAAGTATGTCAGCCCGTAATTGGCTACCGAATTCTATCAATCTCGGATCTATTGATTGACTTCTTACGATATCTATGGGTTTAAAGTGAAATTACTTCAAAAATATGCATAAACTAATTGAATATTTTATTATTTATTTAAAATACATAAGTGTTGGTACAGCTGGGGACCAAAATAAACATTTTCCACACGAATAAGGAAATGAAATTGTAGAAGAATATAGGAAGGAGAAGGAAGTATAATCGAAAGAAATTAATAAATGAAAATAAGTGGACGAGAATCGGTTACAGTAGGACACACGGTAAAGTTAAAAAAACTACATGTAGGAAGAGTTCTTCTGTTTAAAAGGGTTATCGTTTATGAGCAGTGTCAAATTAAACTACAACCGGACTGACACATGTTAGTCCTATACAGCTTTATCTCATACCACAGCTCCATTTCATAAACTGACTACCTCTGCTTTTTCGAACCATTCCCAGCGTCAGAAAATATTATATTTCGCGTATGCCATTGAAATGATATTCGTAACACAAGCCGGAGTCACTGAAGCTGATGTTTCAAGATGGTGACTGACTAAGTTATGGCTGCTGCACCCGAACCTCAGCATTACTAAAATTGTTTCGCTACTTGATGTTATCTATCACTTGGAAACATCTATGGTCGAATACAGAGAATCACTAAAAATCCGCAATTCAAACAGACCATTTTTCATAAGCATATAGCAAAACTCCTGTCGCTAATGTGTTGCAAAACCAACCTTTCGGACCTAGACTGACTTCGTGACGGCCACAAAGATGACCTGGATTGGCATAAGCTACCATCACTTCCATTATACATAAGTTTATTTCATTAGTCACGCCACCACCACTACTCGCAAAGACTTTTCGACTACTTCTAAATGGTCACTACAAAGAGTGAGTGTGTGCAAACGCCACAGGCAGTTTTATAAAAGTACCTTGGATTCAAAAGGTGCAAGTACATGTGATTCTTGGGAGGGGGATCGAAATTAGACTTACCCCTCGACAGTTTCTGCTCGCACTTTAATACACGATGCTGGAACATTAATTCCCAAACTTTTCCAAATAACTCAGTCATTCCCCTAACCAGAAATTCTCCATCCTCCTTAAAAATGAGTCAGGGGTAAGTCGTCTGATCTTGGTGGCTTGTGATGCTTCAGGAGTTGGAGTTCTTTAAGATCCGCCTCGTCAGGTAGATCAGTCTATACGGGCCACGACCAATATTACTAAGGAATCCTCCATATACCGTAGCACGACCGAGGGTGGGGAGAGTCCGTTTTCACTTTCAAAATCCTCTCATGTGGACACTCTTCTATAGATACTGCCAGGGAAGCGCATTTTTCCCTAAGAAAGTGAAAGGACTGAAAGCAAACGTCTTACTTTTAAACCTAGGGGAGTTGGAGAACTCTGACTCCAAACCAATAGTACTTATGGGCTCTGGGATCTTAAGAGGAAGAATGATGTATAAGCCTATGCTTGGTCTCCAAGCACCGTGGAATTCAATCTTCTGGTGTTCTGCTCCTACCATGTGGAGTAAACCCTTTAGTCAAAGGTTTGGGGAATGTTTTCCTAGGATGATCACCTCCCCTGCATGTGCACTGTAACAGTACTCGAGTTACACACAAATATGACAATAAATGCTAATAGATAATGTAATACTCAAATTTACCAGTAAATTCTGTTATATAAGTATTTGTTGGTTTATGTGTACATGTAATAAATTTTATCACTGTTTCTCTCTTGTTATAAAAATATGATTCATTTAGTATGCTGATCCAGTCGCAGACTTCATTGATAAATGGCATGCTTTCCGATACCGGTTATTTAGAGAATCTTGTGTATATCATCGAGGTAATTATGTAAAGGATCTTAGTCACTTAGGCAGACCAATCAACCAAGTTGTTATTTTGGATAATTCACCAGCATCCTATATGTTTCATGCAAGTCATGCAGTAAGCTAAAAAACAATTATTAATAATATTATTATATGTCGGTTTTATTCCTTGTTGATGTTTAACGAAATTCTAATACCGGTGCTTTAGGTCAGATAGTTGCGTTTAGTAGTGCTCTGTTTCTTGAATTAAATGGCCCAAAATGATCATACAGGATTCTCAGTTAAGCCATCTAGCTCAAAGAAAACAACACCAGAGATGGCAATAGTAAATGTTTTGGTCCATGTGCTACTTACAATATAGTTTTAGACAGTCTTTATACGATGAATATTACTTACGAACTATATTAGGTTAGCGTTAATATTTTACGCACACGCATTTAAACATTTCCATTATATTTGGTAAGGGGTATTGTTATCACTCTTTAAACGTTTTATAACTATACCTATGAAAGTAATTACTTAATTCTAACTTGTCTAAAATTGGTGTCTATAGTTCAGCAGCTATATACTGTGAAATAAAATACATTGCCTGATAGTTTTTTTTATTATGTGACTGTTAAACTCTTGCTACACGGAGTACAGTTCGAACAGCTAATTTCCTGCTCATTAATAGGTTTCTTAAATAGAATTATAGAAATAATTGAAGTATTTGATGTTTTGATCGTGTTAGATGGAAAGGCTTACAAAGTAGAGAGTCTTTCAGGCATTACAAACAAAAGCGTGCAACATTCGAAATGTTAAACATTCTGCTTTACTCTGGAGATAGCTTTGGTTGTTGATTATTTGTAGTATATGATAAGTTGTATGAACATCAGGATTTGACTGATTGAAGAAATTTTCATACAAATGTAAATAAGTTCCTATGATTTTCTGTTCCTAATGCAGCTGTTGTTGTTGAATGTTTGTCTATAGAAAGTTATATCGCTTATTTTTTCTCTCAGTCGCTTTGAGTTTTGACTTTTATATGGACAGATGATCGTAGTGTTTCGTCGAAGGTAGTTTCAAGCTTTTCTTACGTTTGTTAAGGTAACTTGAATTTACGTTGTGTTGACCAGTCGGATAAATAATCACTGTTGGTTTGAGCTGTGTACTACACTACATATTTCATGATCAGTATCCTCAAAACGCTTGAAATCAGTGATTAGAAACTCTTAACATTATAAACAAATTAATATATTTTTTATATCCCAATGAGTAGAAAAATTAGATTTTCTGACGTTTCGTGACTCAATGTAAGCCATTCTTAACATTATATGAATAAGAACCTGTCATAGACTATGCTTTGACGTTTTATATCTTTCCGACATAAGTTATCATTTTGTCTGTTTCTTTCTGTAACTGTGCTGAAGCTCTCTTTTAGATTAGCTGACCAGTTGTACGATTTATCTACTCAAGTAAGTAAGTTCTTCGGGGAACTAACGCGTATTGATGATAGTATTATTTAGACAGAGGCACTGAGCAATTTAGAATTAGCCAATTGTATTAACGATTTATTTGAAGATTGTTTAGTTTCCTCGCTAGACGTAAACAAAAGTAGCTATGCATCTCTTTTCAAACTTTAACATTCATATTTAGTCTATAGTTTCTGAGCTCTTTTTAAGTGTTCTGTAGTTATGGGTTCTAGAATGCTTAAAACTTAAGAATCTATTCTGATATTTCCGAGGATGGTTACGCGAACAGTTAAGGGACTTGTTTTGAATAGTTACTCCTCGTTCATGTACTCTATTTTAAACTTTAATTAGTGGTTCTAGCTTATAGTCCAAAAATGTTAATAACAAACCTGTTTAGTTAAGATACCTTTTGTTACCTCGGGCTTTCCATACTCTTGTTGGTTTTTTAGTACTCATACTAGCGTCTTATGGGTTTAAAAATCGTCCGCTACCAACGGGAAGGTTATTATTTAGTAGTCAGATCGTTATTTACAATGTTCCACTTTTCTTCCCAGATATTCTGATAATAAATTATAGACCTATTTCTTTTTGTTGAGAGAGTTCAACCAACTCTGTGGTTCTTTGCGGAGTAGACAGTATCACAGCCCTCACACAAATCAAATGAGATTTGTGAGGCGCATATTTATCTGGTGCTTCTTTGTACCAATATTTATGTGTTTAAATTAATAATTAATAAATAAACCCTTTGTGGTGATTGTAAAACTTCATTAATTACTGTCTAGCCCGTTCGCCTTTACTTTATAAGTCTAGTAAATGATGTATTAGTGTTAACAGTAAACATTTGTCCATCATAAATATATATGGGTGAGATTGTCTTCATTTATTTTTATACGTTTTCCCTGTTATATATCTCAACAAATGAATCCTAGTTATGCGGAAAGTTTTGAGAGATTTTATGTGCTTAATGTTCCACCCATCTTTAAACGTATGATAAACATATATATTTCCTGAAACAGTTACGAATTCGTAGTTATTCAACTAGCGCTGTCAGTTCATATATAGTATTGATTTACTTATAAATGTACACGTTGAATATTTCCTCCTTATTTTGCCTTGTGTAAGCAGTTGTAACGTTTGATGCCATAGGCTTTGTATATATTTGACATTTCTGCAAGTTTACTGTGTTCTCTTACATAGGCGTGCATTTATTTGTGTTTGGATTGTTTATCGCTTGTCTCAGAGGAGGGTTTAACACATACACAGCACTAGAAAATATATTCATGTCCAAAAATATATGGGCTGCTAACGTTTTAAGAGGTTTTATCGTATTGTGAAAGCTATATACAGAGTCGTTTTAAGTCCGACTAACTAATGATGGGAAAATATTAAGTTGCATTTCATCGTGCTTGTGGCTGGTTACACTTTGGTTGCTCACTATTCAGCTACAGCCTGAGTGCGACATAAAATCTATAACTTTGACACTCCTTTGATTGCAATATAGTAGCGAAACTTTCAAATTATTTTGTCAGGAAACAAACCCTCTAGAATATTTTGTTATCAAAGATATAAAACCAAGATTAGCTCAAACTGGTTCCGTTTTGATCTTCAAGTTGCTTTTTATAAAATGAACAAAAACTATTTAGTATAAGTACTTATGCTACTACTAATAATGGTAACAATGATAATAGTAATGGTTCTATTCAGTATTATATATTTAGTATAATATGGAATTCTCAGCATACAATATGTCTACAAGTTCCTCTAACTTTTCTTATACTCCACAAAGATACGTATATACATATAAACAAAAATAAGTAGACTTATATAAAATAGACTGTTTCTTTTCTTAACAAGGATCTCCAGCTCCTACACGCTCCAAATAAATTTTTCTCCCACTCCCATATTATTGATATTAAATAGGTTACCGCACCTAAAAATTTAGATGTGCGTCTATTAATTTACCTTCGTCTGTTTGAAAATCTGTGTTGGACGTGGTTGGCGTTTCATATGTAAACATTTCGAGTTCATACCCACTTGATTCTATAAAAATAACAAATTATGTCACAGTTTTATTGTCAAGCATATGACTAATCATCAAAACCAGAGTAGTTCAATAATAAACTTTTATGATATCTTCAAAATTTTCTTCAAACCCTTCAAAGTTTATTTATTTAAACACATACATTTTGGTACAAAAGGGCACTAGATACATATGCGCCACACAAAATAATGAGAATGGGAAGAGAAAGGGGGAAGATGCGTATACATAAGGAAGAAAAAAGGATGAGAAAAAAAAGAGAAGTGTAATGATGGGGGAACTGAAATGTACGATCAGAAGGACTCTCTCAGTTAAGAAAGTTATAATCACTCTTTATGAAGAAAGTAAAAGAAGGTTACAGCAGGATCGCCACTGGCTTCTATTGTGAGCCATATCTGACAACTTCTCTGGCCACCGTGTTGCGTCATCTCTCGGATCCCAGCCAGGTAGTCGTGAAGGACCAACAGAAGCTACCCGTTTGCAACTTCCTTTCATACTACGACACCATGTCATACACTGACCACCTCTCCGCTTTTTCCAACCAGTCCCATAGCCGGCAAATAATGCACGACATGGAATTCTCTGGGACGACATTCGTAGAACATGTCGAAGTCACCGAAGTCGATGTTTCAAGATGGTGACACCAATTGAATTATCGTCTCTGCGCCCGAACACACGATGCCGAACCTCTGCATTACTAAAATGGTGTTGCCACTGAATGTCAGCAATCCTTCGAAGACAACGGTGATCGAACACAGAGAGACGTCTAACATCCTCAACTCGGAGAGGCCAGGTTTCACAAGCATAGAGCAAAACTGCTCTCACCGACGCGTTGTAGATCCGACCTTTTACAGCCAGACTAACATCACAAAGGCGCCAAAGGTGGCCCAGATTGGCATAAGCCGCTCTGGCTTTCATTATACGTGCATCAATCTCATCACTCACGCCACTACCATCAATTATGTAGCTACCTAGATACACGAACTTCTCAACTACTTCGATCTGCTCACCATCCAGGGTGAGTACAGGATTAGAATCCTGCCGGTCTTGTAGGAGTACTTTGCACTTGGAGGGTGCAAAGCACATACCGTACTTGCGGACACTGATTGCCAACTGATTAAGTGCGGATTGCACAAATAAATGAAATGATTACTTGTACCCCTCAAAGAGTTCATATCTTAAACTTCTCCAAACTACAAAGGCCATGAAATTCGTATTCGGAAAATATCTAGTTAATTGTTTAGCATACAATTGAACGATACTAAGATGTACAAAAGTGACGTAAGTTTTTCAAAATGAAGGGAACTTAGAGAGTGCATGAATCTTCAGCACTGTGGTCGAACTTGCTCCATTTCATCTATCTTGTTCATTTGCGTTGCACTGATGAGGGTCAGTGTTTCATTTTTTTCCAGATATATCTAGTGTGTATCACCATGAACCTGAAATCCTTAGAATAATCTAGCTATTTCTCTTTACGAAATATCTCATAAATTCACATTTTGCTCAGTTTTATATGATAAAGTTTACTTTTCTGTTATTTCTTTGTTTGCGTTGTTATTTCTCAGTAAGTTTTTCAAAATCTATCTTTTTCATCATCATACAGGTTCAGATCTCATCATGGTTTGATGATACAAACGATCGTGTTCTACTTGATTTGATTCCTTATTTCGAAAAACTTGCAACACAACCTAATGTGGTTGATTTCTTAAAAAACAATATTCCTCCTACACCTTACGCCGCTATCGGTACAATTGGCCTACCTCTAGGACTTTTTACAAACACAACATTCCCGGCTACTACTTCTACTGGCAGTGGTGGCGGTGGCAAATCCCCTGATGCCAGTTCAATAATCTCGAATATAAGACGTCCAAATGTTTCTTCTCCAATGCCTGTATCCATTGGAGATAATCACCTACAAGTTTCGAAAGAATCATCTACAACCTTGACTGTGTCAATATCTGTTGAAAATAAAACACGGTACTTAACCAGTACGGATGCTGTTGCTGTAGTTACTAAATTAGATACTACAGAAGCTAGTGGTCCTTCACTGAATCCTATGGCGAAAAATAATGAAAAGTCAAGTTTTCCAGCTCCTTTATCCCTTACACCTTATGTCCCTGTCACTTCATCATCTCCAAGTGTTTTAACAACAAAAACAATAACTAACAATCCTGTCCAAACAATTGTATCTGTTTCAAATGCGTTCACCTCGGATGAAATTACACAACCTCAAACCTCTACATCTCCAGGAATTTCATCGTCGCCCTCAACTAATAAATTGGCTCACATTCCATCTACAAAATACTCAGTTCAGAGTTTATCCGTGGGACATAAAAGTCTACTAGGTACATACCAAAAGAAACAAACTCCTTCAAATAAGCTATTTGGTACTGTTTCAAATTGTTTCAAACCTACCCCTCATATCCAATCAATTGAAAATCATCATTTATCATCACCAAATAAATTAATTACACCTATTCCATTGCCAAATATCGCATCTTCTACCTCTTCTAATTCATCAACAGTAAATGTGACACATTCATCTACTAGTGATTTTACTCCAAAAATCAGTTATTCTATTAAGAATCAATAATATAAGTATTATTACCACTGTAATTTGTTTTATTCTTCGTTAATCATTGTGCCAAAATATGAATATCAATGTTGTTATTAACATAGTACATCAGAATAACTCAATTGATAATTTCATATTTTGAAAATTATTATTTTCACTATCATCAGGCAATTTATTTAAAAAAAGAAGATATAGACAAGTAAATTAACTAATGTTGCCAACTACTTATTCTTTCTGCTCAATCAAAAAGAAAAAAAAATGTATGAATAGTATTTCTTCAAATGTATTTAGTTCTACCTAAGAATATTTTAATTCCTTTACTGTTTATATATATATATATATATATATATATATATATATATATATATATGAGGATTTACACACCCATATTGTACATATATGTATGTGTGTGATGTTTTATGTATTCATGTATACATGAAGCAAAAATCAGTAACTATATTATCTTTTCTCTTACTTACACTTCCATCTTATTCGATTTCTTGATTGAAGAGTAAACAACAGCTTCCACATCAATCTATTTGTAGTATAATGTAGTGAATATGTATAGTGATTTTTGTTGTTGTTGCTTTTGTTCCCTTTAGTTTCGTGTTTTATCCGATATTTCATTTACATTATTGTTCTCACCAGTAAAATAATTATTTGAATAATTGTTCAAATCCATCTTTCGAGTAATTGATATATATATATATATATATATATATATATCCGTGACAATTGTGCAATACTACTAATGAAGATATATCTTCTTCTTATTTTGTTTTTTTTCTGTTTTCGTACTTTTTAAACATTTTTGTTTCATATATTATGTAATCAGTCTTTATTTGTGTGATCTGCCTTTGTTTAATTTTTTTTTGTTTTACTTTATTTCATTTTATTCTCATTCACAAATAACACCATTGATTTTAGCAGATAAGTTTTATTTCATTTCGCTCGAGGTGCAATATATACATATGTATACACATGTATATATGCTTGGGGCGTTAATTACTCTTCATACCATTTCTTGAAACCTTTTTTTGTTACTTTGAATGATCGAAGTATCTCCCACTTATTTCTTCATTCTTTTATAATTCATTAAATTTTACTATCCCGGTCTGTATGTAATTGATTACTGCCGCCATCTATTTCATTTACATTGATCCGGAATTTATGATCAAGCCATTTTAAACTTGTAAGTTTTGTGCTATTTTATTTATTGGTTACAATAGAGAGAATAATCAGCCTAATCAGATGTATACATTTGCACATATATTTTTATTTATATATGTATTTATATTTTTTGTGATTATTACTATCTTACTTTTATTCATTTACATCCAATTTACGCTTATATATATATATATATATATACTGTATATGTGAAATTGTTCATTTACGGCTTCGATTTCAGATTTTCATCTTTGTCTTTAACGCAGATTGAGTAACGCACAATACTCTTGTAGCATATACATAAATTTAAGTGTTTCTTTTTTCGTCAAAGATTCGACCAGTCAGAAAGAGGATGTACATGTCTACATCTGTATGTATTGGTGCCTTTTAATTGTATTCGAACGGAAAGAAAATAATAAATGAACAATAAATTGTGTTCCTGTATAATTTATTATTTTCTTGTCGTTGAAATAGTTCCGAGTTTCAGTGCCGCTCAATTATCGGGTCAGTCAGCTACAACGTAGGACTAGGCACGTACATGCATCGGTCCAAGTTCCCATACCTCATCAGCACAACAACATGAACACCGAACTCGTAGAAGTAGTTAACTTAGTGGTGGTAATATATAAAAGAAAGGTTGTATATGAGGATATAATACAGGAAGAAAGAACGATACCAAACAATTTTATTCTCAAGGTTTAAGGGAAGATAAAAAGTGTATACACCTAAGCCATTGTGATCGATTCTAAGCCATGTCACGCAGTCTCCAACCATTGGTTACGATAGTTACACAGACCCCAACCAAGTAGTGTGCATCTACCAACATGACTCACATTAGAAGTTAGTGACCTCAAGGTGTGATGCCACGTTTTGGTTTGGCCGCCTCTAACTCTCTTTCAACCATCTCCAACACTAATCAGCATTGTGCGTCGTGATAATCATCGTTCAGGCATACTTACCATGTGGCCCAACCATCTCAATCGATGAAGATTCACAACCTCATCAACTGACTTGCCATCATTCCCTAATACCCTGTCTAACCTCACTACTACTTACCCAGTAGATGCTGGCAATATTTCTAAGACATCTGTGATCAAATACTAGCAAGTATCTTCTACACTCAATGACCGCGTTTCTCAGCCGGGAAGTAGAACAGAGAGAACTGCTGCGCAGTACACTCGCTTTTTAATTGATAGACGGATATCTCGTCTTCGCCAGTAGGTCTAAGATGAAGTTGAACAAAAATGGAGATAGTGCACAGCCTTCCTGGGCACAACTTGAGGTTGTAAAATCATATGACAGTTCGCCATAAGCTGTGACTCGACTGGTAGTGTTCGAGTGAAGAGCCTGCACATGATTTATGTGCTTCTGAGGTACACCTTTCAATGACAGACTCTAATACACAACCTCTCATTCTACAGAGTCGAATGCTGCTTTTAAGTCAAGAAAAACTATCATTTTCGGACGCCAATAAGCATGTCTGTGTTCTAAAACCTGACTAATATTAGTGAACCTCATCGTTAAAACTAGACCTCCGTCCTTAAGGACTTTGGAGTTAATACATCTGGACCGGCTATAGCCATTTGAACTTCAGCTAGAGTCGAGGGACCTACTTCAATGTTCCATTCAGGCTGCCTGGTAATGATGGGTAGTCGTAGAATAGCTGAAGGCCAGCCTAAATGTTCTCTAGAGTGTTCCGCCCATCATTCTAAATCTCTGGACTGGGAGCAGATAAAAGTCTCCTCCTTTTCCGAGATTGTCTCGCTTACACTTGACTTCTAATTCCAGTTTCTTTTATTAATCTGAAAAGTTGTCTGGTGTTGTCTACAGCCTTTATCTTTTCCATCTCTTTTGCTTTCGTTGCCCACCACTGCTCACGATCGTTCCTTAGACTTCTGGTTAACCTAGATCTGATTTGTTTTCGCTCTTCATCGTGTTCAGAGCCTGATGGGATGAGTTTACGAGAATCCATCAGCGTAATAGACTTATTAGAAATCTATTAGTTTCTTGTAACCCTCTGGTTTAAATTACTAATAGGTGTTACCGCTGTTTCTGTAGCTGTTCGTATATCTTTTCATGGATCATCTGGGTCAGCCTCGTTTACAGAACTGCCTAAAGATGAACTCAGTTGTTCCTGGAACTTACTTTTGCCTTTCTGGTCCCTCAGTTCATTTATAATGGGTCTTCGTTGTGTGGCTTTTCTGTGTCCAGTGAGGCTCAAGCAAATGCGTGTTCGTATTACAGGATGGTCAGAGTCAAACCTGTATTCCAGAGCGAGCGACAGTCTCCTATCGAGTCTCTCCAAAGATGACTAATGGCAATATGTTCTATTTGAATCCATCGTTGGTTTGGTGCAGGGGGTACCCGCCGTGTTTGACGATGTCTCTCCTTATTCTTAAAATTAGTGTTTACTAAAAACAAATGATTGTCTGAGCATAGTTGCAACAGACGATCACTATTATCTGTTCGCTGAGCCGGTATACTAAAATACCCACCTTAGTATCTTTCTGTTTGATTTAGGCCATCTATTTGGGCGTTAAATTCACCTGCAACGAGAACTATGTCTGAGCGTTTAGCTTTATGAATTTCAGAGAGCTTTCTCTAAAATCCGTTGTTCACTTCATTCGGGCTGCAGTCAATGGGAGCGTAGGCAGAAACGACGAAAAGGCAACGACGTGTGTCCTTGTCCCACTCCTGGGTTCTTACACAGCCACTTAATCGAACAACACCTTACTGCCGTTACACCTCTGTACAGTCAGCAGTACGACTTCGCCTTCGAACCTTGGGTTTTTTGCTTTTAGGCTTACCACTCTTCAACCGACCTGTCTGGCATGGTAAGACCTTGAGGAACGATTTTTCCAGACAGCATAACGCGATTGGTTCATTACGATAGGCAAACCCGATCACCACGTCAAGGTAGCAACAACGGTCGGGCAATTATGGGGTACAGACTTTCACTGAGTTTTAAACCATGCCGTTTTATTATGAGTTAGTGATAATCTTCGCTTGCAAATATCGAGGTAACTGGAGAGGGCTGAGACCATGCAACAGGTAAAGTCGGGTGCACCAACTATTGGGCCACCCCCCTCTAGTAATCTTCCTGATTTGTTGGTGTTTTTGTCTTTCAACTGTTGAATAACTGTCTCCTATATTTTGGGTGTTGATTTGAAATGTTTATTTCACTTTTCGTTTCAGTATTTTCTTTCCCTAAACTAGCCTGTCCAATCAAGTGAACATGTTTAATTATTTCTTATTAGTACCTTATTTTCAATTAAAGTAAGCTACATTGGATTTGTCATATCTAGTTATTTTCTTTTGAGAGAGAATACTAGTGAACTTTAGTTATGGTTATATGCTTTTGTCGACTTAAGGACTTTAAATAAATTATCGAAAAGTATTGTTGTTTCATATGCTTCTCACTTTTATTTTCTCACTTCGATTGAAACTTCATATAAGAAATGATCTTGACGGTGGTTATATATCCTGTACTTATCATGAACTTATTTGATTATTAATACTTTGAAATTCATCTGATTTAAGATTTCTTAGTCACCATGGTCACTACGACTCGATATGGAGGATTTAATAGTGTGAAATCCAGTCTCTGTTTATAGTTATCGTTCGTACGTTATGTTTTTTTTGTTAAATGGTGCAACACAATAATTAATTCAATCGATCTTGTAAATTGCATTTGACTTCTACATTTTGATGTTGCTAGTAGTTTACATATTATATTCCGTTATAATTCATCAGTTTGTTGAATATTTTCATCATGTATAATTTATCATCTATTGAAAATTGTACTATTAACAAAGTATGCAAAGCTGAATTGGTTATATTCAATTCAATTGTATTGGAAGTGTATATTAGTATACATTGATATAAATATATGCAAAAGTCAAAGGGAACGAATATTTATTACGATAAACATACAAATCCATATTTTCATGCTCACTGTTAAATATTTCGTTGTACATGAAATAGAGCATCTACAATATTCTGACCGTAAGGCATAAATTTTACAAGTAATATGTATGTTTTAAAATAAAATAGAAAAATGTTCATATATATTAGTTGATAAATGATATACAAATGTAATTGCCCAAATAAAATGATAGCGTTAATCACTATGCTACGGCCGTTAAAAAGTAATCTCAAACTGAGGCTTGGTAAAAAG